TATGACCCTACCAGTAAAAAGATTTTCTTTATAAGTATTACAGATACAGTGATTTTAATGAGATGGTCTGTATCTTTAAAAACTGTTTATGACCTTTGATTTTTCTCTGTAGTTTTTCATTTCCATTTTTTAAATTACTTAAAATTCTAATTCTAAAGTAATTGTTAACAACAGATTACAGCTTAATCTCTTTTTTCAATCTAAGAAAAAAAATCGTGGCACTTTTTGCTTTAGAAGAACTGAGAATTTGTTTCTATTACAAAAAAATGCACAATGATATCCAAATTTTAGCCTTGGAAGACAACATAATTCAGTGAAATATATTTTTGTTATATATTTGTGTATAAATATACATGTATGCGTATATGTATGACAGCATTCTGAGTGTGCCTTACAGTTCTGTGGTCAAGTGGATGTTGATGTTGTGGACAGGCAAGTAAAGGGATACCTTTCTCAATGTCTTTTAATACTTGAGTAGATGGGAGGCAAGAAGTAAAAGAGGTCTCCTATTTTCTATTTGTGGATTGTGTGATTTGCCCCCACCTCCACTATAGAGCTCTTTCACTCCAATTACCTAAGTGTTCCAGACCTTTTCTTATGCCAATTTGAGAAATACTAATTTAGGAGAATCTGTCAGATTGGGGCTGCTGCCTGAATAGGGATAACATGAATGGAAAGAAAAATTACATTCAGAGAATGTATAATAACCAAATAAATATTTAGATATAGGATCAAATAACAAGATAAAAATGTTGTTTTGGGACACTTTTAAGGTTTATTTTAATGTGAAAATTTCAGACTGTTGAGCCTCACCTATGCTTTAGTTTGGCAGGCAGTTATTTTTCTACCTTGTGGAGAGAAATGTAAAGCAGTTATGTTTCAGGCATCTGTTTAAACAAACTAAAAAGCCATCTCTATGATTTTTGTATTCACCATCTGTGATTTGCTGGAAACATACAACTGACTTGTCAATCACTGTCAGATATAGATTCAGTTAACATTTTTTATAATATTTGACACTCTACAAGGTGTTTTCATGTACTTTCACTCATTTATTTTCTTAATAACCCTCATAGGTGTCATTGTCCACATTTGACAAGTATAGCTAATAAATGTTAAATTCTAGGACATGGTCATATTAATGAGTAATAAAACTGGGACTTGAATACAAGTCCTAGATCTCTGAGCAAAATGTTATTGTTAGTATTGTTGCCCCATTGGGCATTAAATCCTTGTAGTGATACAGTTAACATTTGATCTTGCTTGGAAGTTTTTAATTAGCTTTTTTTCCAATCAGCATATCAAATAGATGCACCAGAAATACTTGTTTAAATGACTAGAGTCATTTAAATGAGGAAATTCCCTTTTAGAATTATAACTACCTATCTGTGTAATCATGTAATATTTGTTATCTTCTACAAAGTGGGGAGTTTCTGTTTATCTCTCCATTTATACTTTAGTAGTAGCAACTATATGTTAGGATTTGCAGATTTGTTTTATATTTCAGAATAAGTTATTTTTCTTTTTCAGCTGGCTGCAATAAAACTTGGCCGATATGGTGAAGACCTTCTGTTCTATCTCTATTATATGAATGGAGGAGACGTATTACAACTTTTAGCTGCAGTGGAGCTGTATGTTCAAAATATTTTAATCACTTTTGTATTGTAGTAGATCTTGACTACAAAAACATCTTTAAGTGATGATGGCTATCTTTAAGTGGAACTATTTCTCCATCAAGAAATTTATTTTTACATTTATAAAAGTGAACTTAATTTAGATTAAAACCATATCTTACCATGGCTTCGTAATCTATATATATAAAAAGAATTTCAAACTTAATGCTGAAGCTGGGTACAGTGGCTCACACTTGTAATGCACTTTGGGAGGCTGAGGTGGACAGATCACTTGAACCCAGAAGTTAGGGACAGCCTGGGCAGTATAGCAATACTACATCTTTACAAAAAATAAGGAAAAATATTAGCTAGGTGTGGTGGCACACACTTACATAGTCCTAGCTACTTGGGAAGCTACAGCAGGAGGATTCTTGAGCCCAGGGGTTTAAGATTACAGTGAGCTATGATTGTGCCATTGCACTCTAGCCTGGCTGACAGTGCAAGATCCTGTCTCTAAAAATAATTAATTAATAAATGCCAGATTTATAAGAAGACAGAATTGACTTAACTCATGGGTTTGGTGAATCTAATTTTTGTAAATATTTGAATTATATGATCCAATTCAAGACTGTATATATTAATAGATACTGAATTTCATCATTTTATAAACATTACTTATAGGTAAGGCACTGTGCATATTTGTTATATGTTTTGAAGTGCTGATTAAATAAGGCCCACATTTTCATTATCAGCAGCCTATTGGCCAATTTAAACAAATATTAATGTAAAGAAATTGGCTGATTGATACTTTTTCCCTGAGCAGATCTGTATTTACCTGATGCTCTAAAAATAAGTTTTCTGTCATTACTCAGATGTACAATTGGTAACACATTTTATCAATAGACAATACTCTTTAACATGTTTACTATAGAGTATACTATTAGTAATTATGACCTTATGATTGGGAGACCTTTTCTCAGATAGCATTCCTAATAGCATTTGTATAAATGGCTTTGGATCAAAATATAAAAGTCATTATGTTGATAATGAATTGTTTTACTTCACAACTGAGAGGAGTTTTCCCTTCATTTTTGTGAGAATAGAGATCATTACCTGTTCTTTTTAATTGTTTGTTAGTAAAGAAATTCATTCAGTCACTCATTCATCTATCACTGGCAGTTCTGTTATTATATCTTGTTTATGTCTTAAAAACGACCTCATTATGTTGGTAGGAAAGCATTGCTTTACATGGAAGTTTATTTTGTGGGACATGATGTTACTTCTGGATGTTACTTCCTCAGTTTACAAATAGTGTAAATTCTCATTGATTCATGTGTGAATTGTAATGGATTTCCTCTTAGCTTTTGAGAATTTAGAATCAATAAAATTTGAATAAAAAAATACAGTAATATATTTAGTATAATTTTTTAAAATAGTCTATTTTCAAGATACTTACAAAATTATGTGGAATTTACATAAATAGACTTTGTACTTAGTTCCTTATCAAATAATGCAAACAGTTGGAGATACCTCAATTTCTTTTGAGTGTTAAGAAGAGCAAGAAAGGACCCTAGTGCAGTTTTTCTAATACATTGTGTCTTTATTTGGCCTGCCTGTGTTTTTATCACATTGCTTATAAAACTTTTAAAATCCTTGTTTGTGTAAAACGTTTCTTTAGTTAATAAAGATGTGAATATAATTATTGTGCCTTCTGGACAAGTTAAGAATTAATGTTTCTGTATTTCAATAGGGTTGTATTTTAATAACATAATAAATGAGTAGGAAGCATTCATATTTATATACTTTATGTGTAATTTTTTTTTTTTTTTCTGAGGAAAGCTTTATAAAATGTAGCACTTGTTTGATGTAAGCCACAGGAAAAAGTTAATTATCTTTTCTTTTAAAAATTGAAGTTTTAACCGTGATTGGAGATACCATAAAGAAGAACGAGTATGGATTACCAGGGCACCCGGCATGGAGCCAACAATGAAAACCAATACCTATGAGAGGGGAACATATTACTTCTTTGACTGTCTTAACTGGAGGAAAGTAGCTAAGGTATATTTTTTTCCATGTGCAAATGTATAAATCTAGACTTGAAAAAATAAATGTCCTCTTTTATCTGTTTATACGTACCATTACATCCAGTTCTAATAAGGTGCCACATATTTGCCAATTCTTTCGTTCCATCTTCTTGGTGTCCCAAAACAGTTCATTTCACTGATAGTTAGATTATTGGATTTGTTAAGAGATTTTGTAATTTTACACAAGCCTTGGTAACGTTTGAAATATTTTTTGTGTCTACTGCATTGTAAAATAAAGATATTTTCTTGCAACCCCAGTCATATATTTTTATATTTTTGTAACTAAGCAAGGATGAGATTTTCCTAAAAGCAGTATATAAACAGGCTTTTTACACTTAAGCTAATTGCAGGAAATACATCTCAATCTTTATTTGCAAGTCATTTTAAGAAAGAAAATTACAAGTATTTAACCATGACTATTTATCTGACTATTTTGCTAAATACTGGGGAGAAGTAGGCTACGGATAAATGTTATTTTATTTTGGTTTTGCAACTTTTCCTCACTTAAATGCCTTTTAACTGTCCTATGTGCAAACTTTTCATCAGTGTCAATGTGTATTTCACATAGGTTTTTAGTACTTTGTGTTTATTTAGTCTGCCTAGTAGAGAATATAACCCACATTACCTGATTTCACAACTTCATGATTTTTCTGATACATTTTCCATCAGTGATCCTTAGGATTGAAAACTAAAGAGTTCAATTTGTTTTAAATAAATTTAAACAGAAGAAAAATGTTTCTGACAGTTCTTTGGACAGCTTTTTACCTGTTGATTTGTTTTTTTCCTTGTTTATAGTTTTGAATATGCTTTACTAATAATTTTTAAAAAGGTAAAACATTTTGAGAAGACAAGGTAAAATACTTAGCAGATATTTATCACAAAAAATTACACATCCCAAGATTTCATCATTTGAGTAAAACTCAAAAAAAGAAATAAAAACAGATGACGCCTAACAGACAACACCAAAATAAGATCCACATAAGAAATTAAATCTTATTTTTTTTTAGATGTTTCTCAGTGGTAAATGTCATTACTTCTCAGACCAGGTCCACATACAGTATTTTGTATTTGAGTTATTTTAACAGTTCCAATTTATGTGAATATCATGTTTTCAAAAGGCATATTTATGAGTTAACCTTTCAGTTAATCACATTAATTAAAAAGAGTACTGAGACATTGTATATGTTACCTGCTCTTTAAGATATATAGTATAGTCTATAGTAGAAAGCTGTAGCCTTTGTATCATGGATTTGAATTTAATTCCTGTTGCTGTTATTTATGCTTTGACTTTCTACAATTTTCCTTTTCATGTCTGTTTCTTCTTTAATAAAATCGAGATGAGATTTTCCTCTAAGTTTTTATGAAGATTAGATTTCTCTCTCTCTCTCTCTCTCACACACACACACACACACACACACACACACACACACACACACACTATGGTACTTGGCACTTGTTGAGTATTTGATACATGGTGGTAGTTGTAGTAGTTTACTGCTATTGTTTTTATTGTCGTTATTATAGCTTACTACTGTTTTTGCAAGGACGAAAAAATTAGAGCTGATTGTTTATTAGGTTAGGTCACTGGTTCTCAAACTATAGCTTGCATTAGAATTACCTCAAAAACTTGTTAAAACACGGATTTCTGGACCATACCTCTATTGTTTATGATTTAGTGAGTCTGTGGGTGGGGCCTGAGAATTTGCATTTCTAACAAACTCCTAAGTGACACCAGTGATGACAGTGGTCCTGGTCCATAATTAAAGAACCTGTGGATTAGGTGATGCTACAGGATACCCAAAAAAAAAAAAAAAAAAAAATCTTTGGAGGAAGAAAAAAATTTTATTAGGAAATAACTGAAGTTTTCTCCATTCAATTGGAATACTTTTGCTCAATATTATTGTAAATTATTCCAAACTTACATATGTAAAAAGGGGTAGATATTTGCAATAAAATAGCTACATAATTTTAGTTAGATTTATGTGTGAGGAAATCAACTTACGTGAGAAAATCAGCTTTCCAGGATTAAGTTCTCCTCATAAAGTTCAGTATTCAGAAGACAATGTAAACATTAATATAGGATCCCTTTAATTTCCAGCAAAAGCAATTCCTCAGTCAAGTAAATGCCATTTTAAAGAAAATTGTGTCTATCTAAATGTGGATTTACATATTTAACATATATATAAACCATAATTTAGCTCAATTTTAGCTATCTCATTTACAATTAAGCTTTTGTCTTTATCTTTAAACTTTTTAACTGTGACGTGAAAATGTGAGAGAGAACATCATTAAGTTACTCCCTCAGATCTCTTTCAAGGTAACAGTTTGTTGGTCCTTACACTGACATACTTTAATATTATTTTCATAGTAATGAAAATAGGCAGAATTGATGTTATTAATAAGATATTAATAAGCAGCTCACTCCTGGTTATATTAAAATAGAAATTCATGCACTTAAAACTTTGAAGTTGCATTATATTCACAGGATAAATTATTCAAAAAAATTTCTAAAGGATTTTTTTATTAAGTGCTTTCCCAGAATATTGATTAGGAATTTAGAAATCTGAGACCTGTTCATAAGTATGTTTATTAACAGCCTTCATTAAATTATAGAAAATCTAGTAATATGTCATGTCCTAAGTTAACTTGAGTCCCCATTTGTAAAGTGGGTGTGCCTTACTGTTCACAGTTAAAGAACATATATTAAAGAACATATTTTAAATAACCTCAACTCATTGTAAGAAGCCTACAGTATGAATTAATGTTTTTACTAATAGCTGATTGTTATGGTGTTGTTGAAAGGTACTGAACTGGTCTACATCATAATCCTGGAGTCCTTTCATAATATTACGTGTCCATTCATAATATTTTGTCTGAGCATTTTTCCCCAAATCACTTACTATTTTCAGATAATTGTAGTATTAAATATGGGATCAGATAATCTAAACCAGAAGTATTTCTTACCTCCTAAAAATTTTGTGACCCTGAGTTCTAGAATCCAATCCATTATTTATTTACAGAATTTCCTATAAATAAATAATATATACATTAAAATGTTGACATTGGGTGGGGACTGTGGCTTATGCCCGTAATCCCAGCACTTTGAGAGGATGAGGCAGGAGTTCAAGGCCACTTGAACCACTTGAGACCAGGAGTTCATTCACCTGAAATCAGGAGTTCAAGGCCAGCCTGGGCAACATAGCAAGACTGTTTCTACCAAAGAAAAAAAAGAGAGAGAAACATGGCCAGGTGTGGTGGTGTGCTCCTGTAGTCCTAGCTACTTGGGAGGCTGAAGTGGGAGGATTGCTTGAGTCCGGAGTTCAGTGTTGCAGTGATCTGTGATTGCATCACTATACTGCAGCCTAGGTGACAGAACCAGATCCTATCGCTAGTTTTTTTTTAAATTTAACATTATATTTTTCTCATTCTTTCCTTTTAGATACTCATAACTTCTTAGCAGGCCATGTTGTCCTGTGTCTTTTTGCTAGAATTACTCATATTCAACTAATTTTAAATTTCCAGTGATTCAGATAATGTTTACAATCATCATGCATAAAATTTTAAAGTAATTTCTTCCACAGTGAATTTTTAGGTGATAGAGGCTGCCTTGTTATCAGTAGCTTTCTCAAAGACTTAGAATTTAAGAATTTTTTTGGTCTAATTTGACCTCATGGATCTATTAGGATTTCTAACAGTTAAGATTTTTTATGTGACAGTCTGATGTAAATGTGATTTTTCATTAATTCCACTGTTACATATTAGTAAGTTTTTATACTTTAGTAATATGTACTTCAAAGATTATTTCTAATAACTGTACTTAAGATAGTTTGCTACTTCCTAAAATTTAAGTTAGTATGGATTTACTATACAGATTGAGCACTCTGTTTTAAAAATCTAAAACCTAAATACTCTAAAATCTGTAACTTGTGAACGCCAGTGTAGTGTCACAAGTGGAAAATTCTGTACCTGACACCTTTACTTTCTGATGGTTCAGTGTACAATGTACACAAACCTCATTATTTATGCACAAATAAAATTACCTTAGGCTGTGTGGATACGGTATATATAAAACATAAGTGAATTTCATGTTTAGACTTGGGTCCCATCCCCATCTCATTTTGTAAATAATCCAAAATTTGAAACACTCTTGTTCCCAGGCACCTCATATAAGAGATACTCAACATGTAGTTAAGAGAAAGCTGACATTTCTTGAGAATTTGAGAAAACATATCTATGGTGTATGTTTCTCTACATAACTAGATCTGTGATTACATCAGTTTTTTGTAACATTATTTGATTATATAAAAACATTTCATTCAGTTTTGCTTGAATCGAACAAGTAACCTTTGGAGAATACAAGTAACCTTTGGAGAATACATAGCCTAATTTTATTAATTAGAAGAACTGAGGTATTAAAAAGTTGCCTAAAAATTATTTGGAATTCTTTCTAGCCTTTGTAGTCATTATGTTGTAATTTAGAAATCCTTTTTTTCCACTACAAGCAAATACATAAATACACCCTCTCTAATGTATTATTTGATATTAGAAAAATTAAGTGTTCTGTTCCTGAGACAAAGGAAGAGAGCTTGTGTTTATTAATTTATCATGTTAATTACATGCCCACTAGAGGCTTAGATAGTAGATAGTAGTATACAGAGAAGAGACTTGCTTCTACAGAATGTACAAGGATATGCATATTTGTAGTATGTGCGTATATATAACAAACATGTAAGTGGTGTTACCAGTAATCAAATTAAAGTAACCGTTATATATTTTTAAAAGAATAAAAATATGTGGAAAACAAGATTGAAAAACATGGAAGGCAAAATTTGATCTATATAATTTCCAAATCTCTGATAGAGTGAAGATTTTTAAAATTTTATCAAAGTTATTTATGCTTCTTAGGTTTAAACTGATATTTTTCTAGGGGGAAAAGATGTACATTCATAAAGTTAATCTCGTTTGAATTCCTAGTAATACAATGTAGTTCACCAATGTGAAAAATTTTAGTTAACTTATTCAGTGGAACTTCTCATTTTGTCAAAATTACAAATAGACTTTTTTCCCTATAACTACACATTTTAAAAATAAAAATGCCCATTTTAATTTCAGAAGAATCATAAGAATATATTTTCCTCTTCACAAATTCAGATACTCAACTTGAACCAAGCAGTAAAATTACTTTAATTCCTAGCTAGGGCTGGGGAGAAGGAGAATAGTGGCTACATAGTGCATTAGGGCAGGATGTTGTGGTTATGGTGGCGATTCTGCTGTTTGCTAATTTTTACTGATAAGTAAATAACCTCTGTGCCTTAGTTACTGTACCAGTCACATGAAGTCAACCTTTACAGGTAAAAGTCACCATGGTGTACCTTCTTTATAAACTTGTCAGGGGACTGATTTTTTTTTTTTCCTTTTTCTTTATACCAAGAGAGAAGGGGACTGAATTTTTTCAGCATTTCTGGATTGCCATGTAATGAAGTAAATGAATCTGTTTTGGATCTTGGACTAAAAAGATAAAAAACGATGTGTTATACTGCAAAAGACACAGGTTTTTTTTGTCACATGGGTCTGGATCCTAATCCTAGGTGTTGCACTCACTGTATGACTTGGCCAAGTTACTTGTAAGCCTCATTTTCTTCAGGTACAAAATGAAAATAATTCTGCTTTACAAAATTATTACAAAGATTAGAATAAAATTAGCTGTATCTCTAATTTGTCACATATTAGGCTTTCAATAAACTCTGCCTGTTAGGTCTGTAATATCTTTAAATTTGTTTAAATTTAATATCTTTAAATTTTAAATACTTGGTATTCCATCTTAAAATTTGACCATTATAACCTATAGGTTTTCATTTTAATTTAATAATGGAAATATCCATCATGGAATCAGTTTGAAACCAGACAGATATGGTAAAATATATTAACTATAGTTGCTAATGTCACTGTTGGCTTAATCTTTAATACATAATGCCTATTAAGTTTCATAATTCTTTAAGCTGGATTGTGTGATAATTTGTGCTCGTTCAGATTATAGAATTGATAAGAGGCTTTTGGAGCCTCTTGCTTTTTGGGCTTGCAGCAGAGGTATTTTTTGTTGTTTGCATTTTTTTTCTAATATACATAGTTATATTCTGCATTTCTATTCTTGATCTTGGGTAGGAAGTATCATGAAGAAATTATTTCACCATTCTTAAATTTCAAGACTCATGAAGTTAATACAGCATTTTGAAAGTTTGATTAAAATGAGCTGCTATCTAGTTCTAGTCTTCAAATGTTGCTACAGTAAAACTATTGTGTAGTTTTAGGTGGCAGTTGATTTACCTTTGAGTCAGAGTTTTCGGTTTGTGAAATGGCAAGTCTGTTGATGCGTGAGTTTTAAGTTCATTGCTTTCCCCAGATTTTAATGAGGTTAGAGTAACTTTATGTATTTGCTTTTTTTTTAATGTAAGTATAAGAAAGACAAATTGGAAAATTATTTCTAA